CACGCTCATAATTATTTCAAAACTTTGTACATATATCTTTTATATAATTCGATTAAACGATAATTTGATGTTTGCTATATTATATGTGTGCGTCAAAATTTCAATTCGTAATAATAATGATAATAGATTCTTGTTGAATTGTAGTCACCTTCCAACCGATATTTCTCTCTCATTGTGTGTGTGTCAGTTTTTTTCATCTATATTATGGTTGTGTTGATGTCATACCGTTCACACATTTGAATCTCTGTACACAATCCGTGTTCAAGAGCACAATGGGAAAATATGCATTATTAATAATTGCGATAACGGTGTGTTGTACAAATTGAAATTAGGATTTTGAATCGGATTTTGGTTTTGACTTGAGAATCTTACTTTTAGGATTATATGTGTGTCAATAATTTATTCAAATGAAACATTTATACGTCATCCAAAAATGGCATCATTTCAATCGACACGTTACATGATTTTCAATATGCATTTCAAAATATTTCAAGTGTTTCGAAGATGCCAACGCGAACTCTATTCCATGAAAATTATTGGCATTCCCTTTTCCTACTAATATAAATGAAACGATGGTTAACAAGTCAGCTACTGTGGGTGCGTTTTATAATAAACGATTCAAGTGTGGATAACAGTTCGGTTGAGCACACCCATAGAATTTCTCATTATCCACTCGAACTGAAAAAGCAACGCATTATTTGATTCTACAATGTACCAAATCACAATTTCTAGGAATAATTGTATGATGTTATTGTTTTTTTTATTTAAATGTTTCGAATATATCGTTATAATATTAACCGCATGCTACAGTGTTCAGTTGCATTTTCTCCAATTATGTTGTCAACATTTTCAGCATTGAAAAAGCACTGAATGAACAGCTGCAAATGCTTATCTGATCGTATTCTTGCACTTCAGCAAGTGACAGAGGAAAGGTCTAGAGCGAGCAAAAGATAACAACAACCGGTTAATTTCAAATGTAATATGATAAAACAATGCAAAGATTTCATACGGAAATATACAAATACATAATGTATTTCTAAAACTTGAAATACCTATACCCAATCTCAATCATAAGCATCAAGCTTTCACATCACTTAATACATAGACGATTTATTCATTTAAAATATCATTCGATAAAATAATGAACAATCTACGCAACATGAAAATCCTTTGCAATTTGTATACCATTTCTTTCTGATATCCCACTCATGTGGGATGCACCATTTGCAGTCGCCTATTTTTGGGTAACTTCATTTATCAAACGGAAAATATCAAGAGAAGATGATGAAAAATGGCTTGTCAATTCACAAAGGAATTCGGTGACCCTTTTTTCTACACTTTCCACAAGCGATGTTTTTGACTTTAAGAGTAATGTATATCGTCATAACACTATTTGTCGATGTTTCTGAAAATTAATATTGAAGGTGAAGTGCCACTTTAAATTTGCCATAAAGCTCAATAAAATGCTAGTCATTTATTTAAAAGAGAACAAAAAAATCACGGTACATATTCCAGAAGAGCTTACTACAAATTGCTTTGACTTTCCATTACATTCTTTACCGAACACAAATGATTCTTCTCTTTTCTGTCTACATCTGCTAAATAAATGCCCAGCTGTTTAAATAAGCTATCTTTGTTCCAATAACTTGTCAACGTCATCTTCATCGGTTCTTATTTTGCTTTCGGTATAAAAAAGTGGTCTTCATCCGTAGAAAGTTTGCGGCTTTCGTTGAAGAGTGCATGCATTTGCTTGTGTCAATTGATAATATTTTTCTTTTGTGTTAATCCATTGATAGTTGAATTGAAAGAGAATGAACAGACAAAAAAAGGGAAGAGCTTTGAACATATTTACTATCACCAATGTGCATATGAGATGTGAACATTGAATTTGACTTGACCCAGATTCACTTCATAATCTATTTCAAATAACTTGCAGCTGATAGTCTTTTGTGTACAAGTGTATGCGAAAAGTTAACAGACGCCCACATATTTTATGTAACCCATAACCCATATGCATATCGAGTGCATTTTAATTCATTTAATTCTGAATGAATTAGTTTTATCTCTCTTTCTTATGCTTTCTTTTTCTCTCTCGACCCTCTCAATCTTTCTCATTTCTATTTTTAATTGTGAGTCAGTTTTGTTCGTATCAATGAATACATATAGTGGATTATAAAAGCATTCTTTTCATGTATACTGCACTCAAATTTCATGAAATTTTACTTATAATTTTGTTTATTGAGAAGTCATTCATTCACTTTACTAAGAACAATCCCATTGAAATATAGGAAACTTTGGTAGTAAAAACATAAATGAATGGGTGAGAATTATGGTAACCAGAAATTTTGTTGCAAATAAAACCGACAACATAGTAAATCATAAAATGTTCAACGGGATGTATAAGTGACATTTTTTACATATTATATGTTGTGTTTTTTTAAAAGTTGAAATAAAGCAATTAACGAGGTCATGAATAATGTCCAGGATAATGTACGTCGATGAAAAAGTCATTATTAGATATTATTGGCTTAACCAATAAGTAGGGAAAATGGAGGCAGACTGATATACTTTTTTTTTGATTGAGACTATTTGGGGCAAAATGGAAAAATATTGGAAAACTTTGAATACCGTTTGAAAAGCCCAACTTTCTGCATCTGGCTGCTAAAAAACGAATGATGAAACATTTCTGAGAATCACAATAAAAACATAATACAATTTCAATCCATTTTGAACCACGAATTTTGTTTTAAAACGAACTAAATTCGAAAAAGAATGCGTAAAAATGTCATAAAATATGAAAAAAGGCGAATGAAATGGTAAAAATTGCAAACAATTCCAAATACCGTTGCTAATACTCTGCTCCCAAATTTTTTCAACAACGCGTGGATAAAATCCAAAATCTTTGTTATTAAATGAAAATAGGCTTTATTAGCAACAAATTATATTCAGTGAATATTATTCACCTTCAATCCTGCCTGATGTAAATAAATAAAAAAAATCGAGATTCTAAATTGTGAAAAAATGGTATGTGCTAAAAACACAAACTTGAATGTACAACGACACTCGTTGGTCCAACGACACGACGTTCACTCTGCCCCCATTATCCCCTATAGCACGATGTTGAAATATATTTATTGTGCGTCTTGTCAAATCAGTATAATAGACGTCAATATGCGGTTTGATTCATCTTGCTGAATATTTATGAATATTAAGCTCAATTTTGACCCAATAATAACAGTTTTTGAGGTTTCTCTACCACAGTAAAACTTTTTTTTGAAACCTGTTTATCAAATTGACGTTAAATTGAACTCTGAACTGCTGCGATATAATCGTACAGGTTGTTTCAAACATTTTCTGGATGTCCATGAAACCAACAAATTGTCGACAAGTGGAAAAAGTTGTTTCCCGAGTCGGGAATCCCGACACATTCTTTCGACATGAACAAAGGAATGGTTTTACTTCTATAATTTGATTCATATCGTCTATGCTTGTGCTACCTATAATTCAAGTCAATTTAATCGAATCGAGTACGCTCACTTTTCCAATGTACAAGCCAATTATTATCGCCGTAAACTCTCGGAGCTTGAGAGTTTCTCATAGAGGGAAAAAGCTCCAAAGTGAGTGAGAATAGTTGAGTGTAAACGAGTACGAGATGGATTTTTTTACACTTAAAATGTGTATGATACGTATCTGTAATGAAATATATAAAGTTTCTTAATTACTTTCAGTGAACATCTCATTTTAATAAAATATTCACCCGACAGTTCGATATGCACCCCATATTCAACTTGTATCTATTTTGCCAATGGCATTATTGATTTGCATTTGCTTTCAAATTCTTGTATCATACGATAAAATTCATGGTGTCGGGCTAAACCCATCGTTTGGTACACATCCACCAATTGATAAAATAATGATTAAAATTCCTTCTATTCAGAAAAGAAATCAATGAAATTTATTGTTATTTACATCAACCAAAAAAAAAATGCACCATGAAAGTTATCATGTCTAAAAACCCTTTTAAAAGCTTTTAAATTGTGAAATAAGTGAATTTGCACGCATAATCTCAGTATATGGTTGATGACACGTACCAAATTCGATGTTAACACTTTTTGAAAACGGCTTTTTGCTACTTAATTTACATGGAAATTAATGGAACATGTATTTGTCCATGTGGCAAAAAGGTCATACACTACGTAAAACTTCTCGAGACTGTGGCTGTAATAATCAACTTGCAGTTATTAAATCGACAGTTATATATTTTTGTTGGTTTCAAATCAATTATGGTAATTTTTTGGCAATAAAAGTTTGATATTTTCGACACAGAAAGAGAGAGATAGATAAAGTGGAGAGAGAGATATTCTCTGATTAACATGACGCTCATCTGCGTGTAATGTATTTGGTCTATCTCGATGTAAGTTGAATTTTCATTAAAAAGTTTCTCCATCAAATGCAATTACTCAGCAAACACAATGTTCAACAAAATACAAAGTTCCATTTATATTTGTGTCACACTCAAAAGCATACAAACACATTTGCATTTTTTTTGAAATTTTAAATATCGCGTTTCCATCCATTTAAGCCGCACCATAAAAGGTTGAGAATATGTTTTCGGGATAATATATGGTGCCAACGCAATGACGCGTCTAATGAATCATGGTTAATCTCTCAGTCAAACTTTGACGATATTAAATATACTTGTCGGAGCACGCAAAATAAACAGTTCAAGAAGCCGTTAATTGTGCATTTTTAAACTTGTGCGAAAACAAAATTTTTTTCGTCACTCCATAAAAATGAATATATCATTGCATGTAATAAAGAGAATGAAAAAATAACTGTATTCATGCGTTGCGTTCTTTTTTCTTGTCTAGATATTGAAAATTCGATAACAGCGACAATTATTTTACATTTACGAAATGTGGGACTTTGAAAGGTGTATGAATGTTAAGTGGATTTTGTGACTCACAAAATATGAGTTGAAATTGTGTTACAACACTTACCCAGAATATGAATCCAGGACAAGAGCACTGCGATGTCCTCGAATGGCTGGAATGCAAAAAGAAAAAAAAAGTTGAGAGAATTTTAGATTGAAAGCAATTCAATTTAAATGCTCATGTACGTATGTGATTCGTATCAAGATTTTGTATACTATATTAAAAGGTGTGATATTTTGCAAAATGCCAAACTGTTTCGAGCAATAATTTTGGATTTTCAAGTGACAGTATTAGGTCAAAAATCATCCATTTACATCATTATCAATTTAACACAATTGAAGTGCATGCATCATTTGGTTTTTAAGCCAAATCTGGTTAAAAATAAAGTTGATTTAATTTGATATCTAATAATAATCAACCGAATTTCAGACCGGTATGATGAATGAAGTATAATCGCATCGACAGATTTTGGATAAATTTGTCTTTTCATTCAATTAACAAAAGCCCAAAAGAACGTTACATGTCTCTGACAAAATTGAAAAAACAAGGAATATAGCAACAAATTTCAACTATCTTAAGCAACATAGTATACTTAAAGTATAATACTAATGCAATTGCATACATTTAGGAGCACATTATTATTTGAACAGTTGACTACAATAACAGGCATATAAGCTACTTTATTTCCCGAAAAACAGCGACAAGCTTTCGAGAGTTAATTTTCGAAGGTAAACATGAAATGCATTCCAATATCGGCCACAACCAATTGATTTGAAAACTATTAAATTATTTATAATATCGACGATGTACTTATTGCGGTGAATTTATAGTAACCATGATAGGTTGCCGCAAACCATACGAACCACAATAAATTCACATAAAAACATGTACACACACACATACGATGGATAAAGTTTATCGATAAATTCTTCAATTTCCAAATGAGTTCATTACAATGAGGCCGATGTCATTGGTGTGAATAGAATGTTGTGTTTTGTGCATATGATTGTGCGAACAAAAATACACCAAGTTACAGGGAATGCTAAGTCAATCATCCATAACCTTGGCATAAAATCCTTCATTTACCATGACACACTCGCGTAGACCAACAGTTGTGCCTTATTCTTTAATAAAATTGTTTATATTTCCTTCTACGTCGAAAGATTGTGCACACGATTGCAGCACGTTTCAAAAATTTCAACGAGATTCCGTTTTCCACCCAATTCAGTTGTGATGATATCAAGCATATCTTCCCCGCTTTTACACCGAAAAAAAAACAGAAACGAAGTATACAACAACGACTTTAATAAGGTGTA